CCCCCCAGTAACTCTATTATTCTATGGTAGTTGAGGCTTAGACTGACCTGAATAACTTGCGCGTGGGAGCGACGTGTCTCGAGAGACTGACAGCTGACATTCTCATCCTACGCAGGAATATTAGCGGCGACCACGGTGCCGATCCTGTACGAGACGAGACGAGCTGTTGAGCAACGATTAGAGCGAGTCCGCGTCCACATTGAGACCATTGCATCACCCTGTGAACTCGGAGGTGGGCAAGAGTGGCCTCACCAGTTGAAACACAACAGGCAACAAGCAGTCTCTTCCTGATCCGGTACCCCTGTACCACAAACAACACACGGTCACGCCAGGCTCACGAGCAATCATATCCAGCGACACAATGGGAGCAAGCCCAGCTCACGAACAAGCGCAGCCAACAAGCACAAACAATACAATCGTAGCAAGCAATCACAGGCAGCAGTACAATCACCGTTATAGGGTAGTCAGTTCACTGACAGAGAGTCCATCTCCCCAACTATACATACACCAGCAACAACAACGCACGAACACGAGATCGACCACGACGGTATGCTCTAGGGACAGATCGCCCTGAGGTCTCACGTAGCCTGTTGCGATAAACAAGTCCTCTGATCCGGCGACTTCGGAAAGCAGCCCTGACTTACCACCAGAATCAGGTGAGATAAGCCGTTTCAATCCTTCGCAGTCGCCTCGCTTCTCGTCCATCCATGCTTGAAACTGAGAAGAGCCCCCTTGGGACCTCATTAGCGATTGTTTCGCCCAGCTCGTCCGAATCGATGAGGGTCAGGATAATCTAGGCGTCGGTTCACAGCCACCTTTATTCCTGGAAGTCGTCAGCGCAAGAGAAGATGGTGCTCTATTAGATCATCACGACTTCTTAAATACAGATCTCTGCTTCCCCCTTACATCACCCTGTTCTTCTTCTTCAGAAACTCGATACACTCTTGTTCCAATGTCAAGATCAAGTCAGGGTTCATTGAGCTTAGCATTGTTTCAACCGCTTGAAGTCCCCTCTTATTTTGTAGCAGCCGTATGATCTCCTGTTCAACTGAGTATACGGATTTAAAGTCACCGATCGAGCACCTGGACAGCAATTCCCCAAAAGGGAGCGTCTGAAAACGACTCTGGGAGTTCACCGTTCATGATCTTCTGATCTCGTGTTGGTGGGTCGAGGTCATGCCAAGGAATTCTCTGGAATCGAATCGTGTAAATGCAGGAGCCAAGAGAGAACTGCTCGGTGATGGCACTCCTTTCTGGCAATTCGTAGTTCTTGAGTACTTTGCACAATTGTTCGCTTGAGGCAAGTAGCTGACTTTTTAAAATGGTTCATATATGGCCTGAGTATATTGTTCTCATTTTTAGTCAAGCTTGGGCATTTGTGCTTCTCCAAGTCTATCGTCTCTGGTAGCAAAGCAAATGCAGAGCTTTCGATCCAGGTACATAATGAGCTGAAATCATTGGGGCTATAGTCACATATCAACCTAAAACCACATAGCAGCCTAAATTCACACATTAACCTAAAATCACTTACTACACAGCGAGCCCCCAGGGCCCCTCACTATTGCCTACCTAGGATCTTGCTTTCCGCTAAAAAGCTTGATATCGTATAACTAAGTGCTGCTGCTCTTCCGTGAAGATGAACCAGATCACGCAGTACTCGCTGATCTCGTCTACTTCAGCTATAGCGCGCCAGCTCTGAGGCCTGTGGCTGAGAGCTTAAACTAGCCGAGAAAACCTAGACGGTAGGAACAGCAATCCATAGAACTACGGGAGTAACACGAGAAATCATTGGTGACAGGGAAATAAGACCTACAAGCAAGTAGAGATCCTTGTATTTCAACTACAGATTGTCGAGAGCCGCGCAAAGATGAGAAGATACGCAACAACTAGCAGGAGAACAACAGAACATCAGTAAGCAGGCGCAGGGCAGAGCTGGATTGTCAGGCTAACAGATATCGTCAACCAGCTGTGGCAAAAACGGCCATAATGGGTATGATGAGGCCAAGAATTCCAGCTGGATATAGTCAACTCCCCAACGATCAACTCGCAGCGAACATCTCGTGGCAGCGATGAGAAGCGAACCTTACCAGGCAGGGAGCCGGTTCTCCATACTCTTGAGATATAACGAGGAGTTCCCAGGTGAAAGCTCAGCTAAATACCACGAATACAGCCAGGGTAGACAAGAACAAGGACAGAGCAAAGAAGACACGAATAGGAGGTGAACAACTGAAGATACTGGCACACGCTGTCTCGTGATAACTGGAGGAGAACGGCAACCGTATTAAAGATCGAACTTATCAAGTTCTGCCCTTTGAGATCGCAGCACTTGAAGAACGGTACCATTATCAGTATGCTACAACTACTCCAAATTGCTCCACCCATTCGATAACAGTTGTCCGGCCTGATGCAACGTCCTCGACGAGCGAAAAGTACCAAGACTAGAGAAGTGATTGTGAGTACGTTGGGTCCCTCCAGAGCACTCATGGAACCGGCGTTTACCAAGTAACTTGAGAAGGAGTACAGCGAGGGCAAACAGACCTGTAAAGGTCTTGTGTCACGATAGTGCATTATCAAGAGCCAGTGCCAAACATGCTGGGAAACTCCTGAAATCTGGACATCGGACATTGGGAACATGAGTCCTGGTACGCTGAGATCAGATCAACTTTGACCGAGGTTCTGAGCAGCGTGAAAGAAGGGCGGCGAGGACCGATGAAAGGACGAGTACTGCAATACATAATCTTCGATGATGCCTTACACTATCCGAAAACAATGAGTCTTGGGCATTTTGCTCAACTGAAAGCGAAGTGCCAATCATACTCCACAGTTCACTGCTGCGACAATGTCTTACATTTTGTGAACATAAGGATGGCAGCATAGTAAAGTAATGAAGTACGGAGCTACGACTTTTGTCTTCTCCAGAACGTGTCATTTGTCTATAACCTACAGAAATAGGCCTGCGGAGGAAAAGCCGAAAATGCGGAATTCGAACAGATGATCTTCGCTTTAGCCGGGCTTTACCCGCTCCAAAATCTCTGTTGGTCCAAACGTCATGGAGAAACGATTCGACGATGGCGGCGATAGAAGATAGGAATCGGTGAGGGACTGCACGGCAAAGGACTGGTCAGAAGGATGTGAACGGCAACAGGGCTCCGTTGACGCGTCGTAGGGTTATGCAGAGAGACTGGGTCCATCGGGCAACTCTGGTGACACTGTTGACCCAGCGATGTGACATTCTTTGCACGCTTTCGGGAGCCCCAATTCCGTCCAGTACCTACAGATTGGACGACAACATCGTCTTGCTATTGATCAGGATGTTGCGGACAGCAGGCAATGTGAGGATGATGAGGTCAAGACCCTCCAAGCAGTTTGTGCAACGATTCGGCGGCGGCGGAGGAGCAGGACGACGATACTTTGCGCAGTAGCACGGTCGAGCGGACAGCAAATCGGCTCGTATGCGAGGAGTGCTGAGAGGTCATGTTGACCATTCGATGAGGATTGGCGTCGYAAGGTCGTGGAGGATCGAGGATGGAGGCGGAGCTTTCATACCAGTCCGTGATGTCACAAAAAAAAAGGGGGTCCAAAAGGGCAGATAAATCAGCCTGAAACAGTACCTAGATGTTTCTT